TAGTTTCCAGCAGGTTATGCTAGGTAATCTCAGTGTTTTCTTCTGGCCTCAGTGTATGAATGAATCTATTTTAAAGAACTGTATTTACGGCTACCTATCACAACTGTTCAAACATTAGCTGGCACAGAATGAAGCCATTCCCACTACCTAAAATATACAATATATAATGTCATTGATATTTATGCTCACTTAGTTTCTTTATGCACTGGCTTCCTATTTGTTTCCAGTTGCAGTTCAAAGGGTTGATTCTCGCTATGCAGAAAATACCTTTTGTCATGGTTGTCGTACACATCGCTTCCTCATACACATTTAATGACATCCACTGCAAATATATATAATCTGCATAATATAAACTAGTATTCTCTCCAGCTAACCGTCCCAAAGTTTGTACTCCAGAGGCTCAGGCATTTTGATCAAGTTTTGTTTCAACTGGTCTAACCTGCAAATTACAGAGCAGTGCACTGTAAACAAGCGATGGGAGTCGAGCTGTGGCAGCACAAACCTCAGTCCAGATGAATTTGCAATGCCTCGTGGCAGAGTAAATTACCCTGCACACAAGTCTCCATTTCCTTGGCTCAATTGTTTCTGGCAGCCAAGGTAGTTTGGGTACTTTTACCATATGCTGTGTCTCTCTTGACTGTTTCCCTGTCACCAGCTTTATGTTAAGTGAGGGCTAGGAGGATGGTTATGCTGGTGGATGAGAAACCTGGATGAGAAGCTGCCAACAAGAGGACAAAGTATGGCAAAGAAGAGTGTTTAGCATACATTGTCTCAGGCTTACAGGCAACAGGGAGGGAAGATAAGATGCAGACTGATTCAGCAAAGCTAAGGCTAAAGTTGGCAGACTCCAAAGTTAATGGTAGCATCTCTACATTCTTGAAATCCTCAGGTCAGAAGTATTTTACTCATGGGTGACATGCTCGTTAAATCTAAGTCAAAACATTATATAAGATAGAGCATAGTGATTGTATTACAGTTCTTGTACTGCGTTATGAAAAAGGCCAGATTAGAGGGGTCACTGCTTCTTTTAGCCCTTTAAGTCCAGGAATCTATGGAACTGGATCTGAGGAAGGACCAGAGGACAGGCTGCTGCTGTGCACCGCTCCACCCGCTGCATTCGCTCTCTGGCAGTTGCTGTAGGCAAGTGAGGAAGCATTAGTGAGAGCAGGCTTGGTGGGAGCGTGACTCTGGCATGAGCTGAACTTTAGGGAATGTGTCTGAGTCATTTCCCCTGCTGACGTCTTTAGACAGTGGTGATAGAGGTGCACAGTGGTTTTGCCCTAAGTGTTGCCTGCAGTTTAGTGACAGGTGGCTTTAATCTCCAAAGCTAATGGGAGTGTCTCAGGAGGACTGTAGGGCAAGGAGGAGGTGATGGTAAAACTGAACAACCCTTGGGGCATTTCCACAGAGTAGGTTCAACACTTGAATGTACACCGGGTGGAGGTGTTTCTGTAGACCATATAGTTAAATTCCTCCACGTGGTTAGATGGTAAGAAGTTGTGTGGATATCTGATGGGGGCAGAAGTGGAAAGAGAAATCGGAAAGTAATTCTATAAAACCGTTTGATAGGGGGGCATTAAAAAGGTATAGAAAACCAAACCAGGATGACCAGGAAACAGAAATTGGCAAATGGTTTGTGAGCTGACCATGTTCTAGAAGCTAAAACCCTGTAGTTTAACAAAGGATGGAGAAACTACTCTGTTTCCTGATAAGGGCAAACAGTACTGGATTTGTTATCTTGCCAGACGTTTTGCTTTCTAAAAGGTGGAATAAAGAATAAGTTACTAATAATAAGGTACTTAATGAAAGAGGCAAAATTTTGATTTGGCCAGAGAGTGAAAGTAACATTCTGAAGGAAGACTGTAACATAGCAGCTGTGTTACCGTGGAAACAGTGAGAACCTTCATTAGGCAGGTTACTGTTAATAAATAGCTAATTAAGAATACTTGTGACAAAGCATACATCATGCAGGATTGCATCAGACGAAGTCAGTGTGTATTACCCTAAAGTCCCTACTGGGACAGCCCATTAGCTAGTAAAAAAAGATAAATAAAGGTTCAGTCATTTTGAAGAACCTTAATAACATAATGAGGATAGGGGCTCAGTGATACCAGGGTGGCTATGAAAGGTTGTCCAGCTCTGTTGGATTGCAGCAGTATGTACATACTGGGCAGGGAAAAGGGACAAGAAGAATTACTTATCCTTGTGCTTAAATACAATACAAAAGCTGTGGAGAGCACCAATGTTTGACTCAAAAGGACCTTTGGTTAATCAAGGGGAAGGAATCCTTAGTATATGAGCAGCTGCTCTGCAGGTTAAACCAGAGGTCTGTCTAATCCAGTACTTTATTCCTTCCACTAGCAGGTGCTTAGGGAAAGACTCAAGAACAAGGCAGGGATTATTTCATCAATAATATAAACAGCCTTCAAGGATGCAGACATTTAGGGCCTTTCTGAACTTCAAATATGTCCAAAATGCTTTGGTCAACCTTGTTTAAAGTTTCTTCAAAAACAATTGCTTTTTTAATCTTTCTAGACTTTTGGTATCCAAAACCATCTCGAAACAATGAGTTTTTCAAGTACAAATCATGTGAAAGGCATTTTCTTGTGCTTATTTTGAACTAGCAGCTCCATAGTTCTTGATTCATGAGAAACAGTGAAGAATCATTCCTATTAACCTGAACACCATTTTCTTCACTGGTTGTCTCTTTTCCAACTAAAACCACTTTTCAGTGGTTTTAGCTCTCTCCTCATAAAAAAGCTGGGGTTCATACCTTTTCTATTTCCACTCTGTCTTTTTGAAGGGATATTATAAACACAGAGTATACAGACACTGGCTGTACTATAGATTTATATAGCAGCATGCTGATATTTCTGTTTTCCTAATGAGCTCATCACAGCTGTTTGCTTGATTACCCTTGAATAGTGAGATGGGTTTTTCAGAGACTATTTAAAATTACTCCAAGATCTCTTTCCTGAGAGGCTATAGCTAATTTATAGATCAGCACTACGCATGCATAGTAAAAGATATTTTCTCCATGTGTGCTTTACTTTGTGTTTTAGCAACATTAAATTTCCGCTGCCATTTTATCAGTGATTTAGTCACTACTGTAAGATCTTTCTGCTACTTTTTTGCACTTGATTCTAATTTTAACGATAGGCCAATGAAAGGATTCTGGTAACATAAACCTCAACTCAGAGTAGTGGTTTCCCTCTATTTGAAAAGTGGCCATTTATTCCTTTGTTTTGTTTCCCATCTATTAACTAGTTTATAATCCATAAGAGGACCTTCTATGCTCTCACATCACAGTAATCCTTCTAGCAGCAGGGAAAAACGTTTCAGGATTTTGCGAAATTCTCCTGGGGACATAATACATTTACAGCCTGTTGTCCCTTCCAGTTTGGAAACTCCCTGGTGAGCACACCATTGTTACTTGAGGTTTGTTGTATAGAAAGGTGTGGAGAGGCTTCTCTCTACCTGTGTAAGAAGGCTTATTTTCCTGACGTAATTCTCTTCCAATAAATTCTGTGGAAGGCAGAAAAAAATGACATTAATTCTTTATAATGTAGAACACACGGGCAATGTGTCGCGGTGGCTGATGTGGTGACACTTATTTCACGGTAGCATTTTGTTCTGCCCTGGTGGACTGTCCTTGTAACTGATTATGAGGAGAAATGCAGGGGTCTCATGCTTATCTCTGGGTCTGAGCTTCTTGAAGGAGCATGCCTTGCTCATTCCAGTGTCTCTTGAAACCTGTGGTCACCAGGAGTAGTGAGTTGACTTTAAGAACGAGGATTTTGAGACTGTGGTCATGGAGTTTCTTTCTGAGCTAAACAATGATTGGGGAATTTTACACGAACATCTTAAGTAATAGCTCTGAGTTGGAAAAGTAGTTAATCTGAAGTATTTTGTTTTAAAAAATAACTGCGTTTGTAATCTTTGTCTGTACTGCAAGACATGCATTAAATGTTCTGCCAATGAAATATTAAATCCAAATCAAGTTTCCAGACTGCAATGTCTCTGTATTTAGCTACAACATGAGGAGTTTAACTACCCAAAACTCAGGATCAGGTTGCCCAACACTTCAGCTACCCAACTACAACACATATGGTAGAATTTTCCAGAGATAAAACTGAGAGAATCTAAGTTGGGAGTCCTCCTCTCCACGCTCATTTGTATGGGGAACGAAGGCCTCTAACTGCACGTAGATTCAGATGGTTTGAGTATCTGCTGAGGTGCAGCACACAGAGGGCACATGGTCTTCCGTACACTCCAAAAATCTCTAGTGCAAAACTTTCCAGAGGGTTAAAGGCAGGAACTAAGCTCAGTTCATATTTCGTCATAGACCCACTGAGCGCCTCCATATTTCAGGTCTCCAGTTATAAAATGACAAGAAGCACAACTACATCTTTGGTGTGCTGTGAAGATACTTCTTGTAACAAACAGGAGGCAGCTGGCTCATGCAGCAGGGATGGCCATAGGCCATTTGAGGGCATGTAACCAGAGAGCTTTGTACCAAGCTGCCTGTACAAGGACCTGCTTAGCTTTTTATGGTGATCTTGAGGTTACATCCTCTGTTTTCAGATGTGAGTTAACCCACAATAGTGAGGTTTTTTGCAAAGTCTGGATGAAGGATCTGAGTGGTGTGGTATGTTGGTATACATTACGTCAGCAGCATATGCCGTATGTTGGGCAAGTCTGCTGTGTTCCTGAAAAAATCCTCTTGATTTTTTGCTGTGTGTGGGCACCGCTCTGTGCTGCTGGGGTACTGTATCGTGGACAGCTGTCTCCTTGGTGTCACGCTCCACGGTTACAGGCAGCGATGTGCATCCGGCTGTCCCAAGAAATGCCCTCTCCGGTGCTACGCTTTGTGCTCCGGTGGGCACAGCTTTTCTGAGTGACACTCGTACGCTTTGTCACCTGGCCATCCTCCTCTCCGATGGTGTCTGTGTGTGTACACCCTGCCTACAGCCACTGCCTTCCTTGCACCTGTGCGTGTCATGGTGTGCGTGCGAGGCCTGGCAGGGATGGAGGCCGGGCACCCTCTCCCCGTGCCACCAGCCTGCGTGCACATGGGCCTCCACGGCCACCCTGACCCCAGGATGGCTTTCCTCTGGGGTCACCCCTCCGTGTGTCAGGGCTCGGGGGGTGCGTGGGGCACCCCCGTGTGCCCCCCGTGCGTGCGTGTCCTGCCTTTCCCCTCTCGCTGCCTGTCTCCCCGTCTGCCTGCGTGGCACCCGCCCCACGGGCAGGGCCCTGCGCGGCTCCCGCCGCCGGAGCAGCCTCCTGCCGGCCGCTCGGGCAGGCGGGGCGGCAGAGGGAGCCCCGCCGAGCCGCCGGGCGCCAACGGCCGG